AGAATTGCTGTTGTTACTCGGTAGTCCTGTTCCAGGAATCCAACAAGCAGTGCCCTTAGGAGCTCTGAATGGATTGAAATCTTGTTTAAATTCAGCAGCACCTGAGACCACTTAGTTAAGAGATTAATTTAATTTTTTGGGCTCAGTGATAAAAACCATATCGAGTGTACTGTTAGCATAACAAACCTACAGTTGTGGCCTATCAGCCTCCGCGCTTGCAGCAGCCTTTTGTGTGACGTGTGGTTTCCTTGGCCGGCAGGTCCGTGAGGCCCCGTTTAACAATCTACGTGTGCCAGGAGCCCCTACGCAGCGTACAACTGGAACGCCAGGACGCGGGCAGCGCGGACAGCAACGGTGCAATATACGGTACGGCAGGCGGGCACGGCCGGGCGTACGGCACTCAAACTGCAGAGGCGGGCAAGGGCCGCCTTGCTGCTCCCGCTGTACAGAGCAACTGTGAGAAGCTGTGTCACAGCGATATTGCTGCTTTAACAGCACAGAGCAAACAGAATCTGAAACCTCACAAGGTTAAGGCACTGAGCATTTTCAGTCCGTTGATAAAACTAACTGTAGTTATATGGTCATGAACGAAGGAGCTCTGGAATCAGCTGTGCATGTTGTTGCAGACAAGGCATCAACCATATAAATGTAGGTGCACATAAAAGCTTCATGCAAATATAATTCTTTCCCATTTTCTGTTAGATTTTGCTGTCATTTTCTGTGCAGCTGAACTAAAACTGTAGAGCCTGGACAAGGAAAAACAGCCAAGTAGTGAATGCGCTCTTGATTTTAGTATTATTTTCCTGAGAACTGTTGATTCAACACAGATGGAAATGTAACTGTTTATTTGTAAATCCATGTCACTCTTACAATTAAGAGAATGGAGCTATTTAAAATTAATCCTTACTTGCTCTTGGCTTCAAGAGACCTCTCTCCCCAGCTAAAATCTACACAGGCTACTTCAGTGGTGCTTGTGGATTTTCTGTGCAGGAACCTAGGTGGAGGAGGATCTGTAAATAAAATACTGCTGCTCTCAAATACATGTTTTCACTCAAGATATCTTCAGCCAGAAGAACGTGCTAACTTGGAGCTGCCAAGAGTTTCTTGCACTGTTAAATAAAGATATCGAACTGTAAATACAGCTTCAAGCTGAACAGCTACTTTGGCTTACTGTTCTCTTTGCTGTATTGCATTCAGCTCTGAGGTGATCTGTAGAAAGTTAATTGAGACAGTTGGAAAAGGCTTTATTTACCAAAAACCCAGAATCCGTATCTGTATTTAAAGCAGCAGCACATAAGTGGGATGTAGGTATTACCTGATTGTTTTGGGACTGCCTAAAATTACTTTCAAAACCATCTTTAGGTGACTCTCTTAAAGATCCATTTTAAAGTGTGTTTGAAATGCTTGTGCCTTTTTCTGCAGGATACAGGAAAAAATGTGGAAATTGCCTTCAGTCTCAGAGCAAATAGAAGCCTCCCCCATCACAGTTGTGTTTATGATTTTTCCCTGAAAGAAAAGTTAGGGCAGTTCATGCTTTTAATGAGAACAGGGAGAGCGTAAATTTAAAATTTTAGGTTTTAAAATTTTTCAAAGTATAAAGTAAACAAATAAAAAAATTCAGATATTTTTCTTATAGCTATTGTTATCCATTAGTACCATGCTTATGTAAATGATTTTTTTCTTGTAGTTTATCATGCAATCTACTTAGAGGAGATGGCAGCCTCAGAAGTCACACGCAAGCTTGCTTTGGCATTTAATATTCCTTTGCATCAGATCAACCAAGTTTACAGACAGGGTCCCACAGGCATCCACATTCTTGTTAGTGATCAGGTAATTGAATTTATTTTTTTTTTGGCATTTTATTTATGACTGGAATGGAGGGTTTTCTTATGCTTGCTCATTTATTACTGGTTTATCTGTTTGATAATGCATCCCTAGTGTTTGCTGACATTTAAAGGTTTTTTTCCTTTACAATAAAAGGAAGGATGATACAATGAAAAGAAGGATTCTTTCAATGTGATTTTTCCTCTGCATGACTAAACTGAAACTATGAGAACACAGAGGTAGCTGGTTTATATAGCTCTGAGAAGCTGCAGCCATTATTTAGTACATATTTATTTTGAGCACACCCAAAGGCAGAGAGCATTTAAACACTGTTGAACTCTGCTTGTTCAAGTGTCTGCTCCACAAAAGTCCCAAAAACACAGCCACGCTCCCAGCTGGTTGTCACAAGAGTAAAGAACAGTATTTTAATAGTAATGGATTTTAATTTGGTATATGCCTGTCGCTTGCTGAACAAAACCAAAAATACATGATCGCCCACAAAAGGCTGTGTTTAATATCAGGGTTGTTGAGGGTTGTTTTTGTTTCATTTTGGTCATACTCAGAAGGTTTTGAAACTGGTTTTTTTTTTTAGATGGTTCAAAACTTTCAAGATGAGAGTTGCTTCTTATTCACCACAATAAAAGGTATGTTGTCTTTTCTGACAGTCTAAAACTTAATTGTTTATTCCAGCAAGGAGCCTTCTTTAAAAATTGTAACAGTTTTGCATACACAGTGGCAGAAGATGGAGTTCTTCCTCTCCTAGCCAGATTTCAGCCTCTGTATAGCATCTCAGGCTCTTCTCTGAGCTTTCAATTCAGAACCAGTGCAGGATTTGGTAACAAACTTATGTAAAATTCAGTCAGCCATCACTGGACAGTGATGCTGCTAATAATTATTGAAAATGGTGAAGTTTCAAAATAGGTTAAAAAAAAATCAAAAATCTTGGGAGTAGTACTTCCGAAGTTCAGAAACTTGAATCTTGAGTCCTGAGAGTCAGCAAAACTGAGCATAACATTCTGTTCTTTCTCTGTTAGTCAACAGTCATCTTCATTCAATAGCCTGTTGTTGAATCCCACTCTTCCATAGAACTCCAATTTATTTCTGGTACAAGGTACCAGCAAATGGCTCTAATCAGGGGACAAGTTTGACTCTGCAAACTTTACTTACGGAAACTGTCCCTCTTTGAAGATCCAGTTACAAATCATAATTAATAACATTTTTGTTTAGCACAAGTGGGAAACCTTCACGTTTTTGTTGTACATGAGTTTATTATCAAAGTCCATGCTAGAGTGTTTTGGTGCATTGGCTTGTATTTCTGTGATTCTGTTCAACAAAGACAGACAGACACTTCCTTTGGTTTTTTTTTCAGCTGAAAATGGAGAAGGCTTCCATATAATTCTGAAGTGACATCACACACGTGCTAGACTGATATTCCAATGCAGAATGAAGTCCTGCCTAAAGATTATGAAGATCATCCAAAACCTTAGGATCTAACTTCACTGTATAAGATGTTTCATATTGAAAACACAAAATGACCTTTCTAATGAGCTGTTTGATAGGTGAACTTTCTTATCACTGCCATAGCTAAGTGTCCTCATGAGAGGTATAATGCCATGACAGCTTCTGTACAGGCATGGAAGACAGTGTAAGCAAAGGTGCTTGCCCTTCACTGAAATAAGGCAAACTATGGCCAGTAGATACAGTTTATAGAAGTGAAGCTGTGCTGCTTTTCTATTACCTGTATCCAGTTGGAGATGAATGTAAACTTATTTTGGGGCATTTACCTTTCTGTGCCAGTTTGTCTATTACGTGCTTGTACCTTACGCTGGTTTTATTTTTTGATGTTAGCAGAGCACATGCTAATCTGTGTGGAGATGAGTAGTTACGGTGATAGTGATCAGGTTGTCAGGTCTTCGAGAGTAAAGCTGTCAAAACAGCTTCCCGTGTAAATTGTGTATAAGAGTGTATGTAAGAAGTGTAAATGCCAGAACAGGGCTTTTAAGAAGCCCTAGACAGATGCAATATATGCATGCAGCAAACTGCATTATCAATAGTACCTTATTGGAGGGATTAATATAAATCCTATGGGGTACCAAGTAATTGTGTTTTGCTTTAATGAAACTGAATTGCCTATGCATCCTTTATGTTTAGTTTCCTAGGTTCTCTGCAGAGCACTGCTGCAGTTTAACTCTTTGCTTGTAAAATTGTGGGTTTAAAAATAATGGCAGTGAGAAGTGGGGTTTTCAGTGGAATTATGCAGATAAGGGAAAATGACCCACTGGCACCACAGGGCTGTCATAGCTTTCAGCAGCATTGAATAAATTGCTTGAGAAACACTAAATACACACCCTGTAAGTTTCCTTGCCAGCAGGTGAATGCCCTGCTGGAGCTCCTATTCTGGACAAGTCTGCTCTTACCTTTTCAGTTGACCTTCCTGCACCCTCCATCCATCCATCCATACTGTACACCTGTTACAGTGCCTCTTCCATATGACCAAATATTTACTTTACTCTGAAACAGGCAATGTACTTTCTTGGTATTTTGGATGTGTCTTGTAAAGTCATGGCACAGCATTTCCTAGGCTAACATTATGTTCCAATTGGTCAAGTACTTGGGGGGGCGGTATTTCCAGAGGTATTAAGCGACAGTTTCAGAGCTGTTATTCTGTGCCTTTGGAAAATTCCAACTTGATCTCTGGCTTAAAAGCTTGGGAATAGTTTGCTTTTTATGCTGCAGTGTTCTGTGTAAACCAATACTACAGCATGTAAAAAAGCAACTTTGACTTTTTAATTTCCCCTTTCATAACTGGCTCAACTGCTTAGCAGAAAAGCTTCTGAAAGCTGTAGCATTTTGAAAACTTAGATTTATCAAACCTAGCGGTTTTTTCCTATTTTTGGTTGTTTGGGTTTTTTTCTGCACTGAAAGTAAAATTTTATGTACTTACACATTTCTGCCTATAAGTTGTTCATCTTTGGGTATTGTTTGGTCCTAGTATTTTCCTGAACTGACACCTGTGTCTTTTTAGCTCACACCATATTCAAATCCAAATGTTTTATAAAAGTGGAAAAATCCTTGATTGGAAAGTATCCAAATATCTAATTTTAAAGAATATTGAAAGTTGTACAGTAGTTTGTCCAGCTCACTTGAAATTGGAATTAAATTATGGCACCAGCAAATGGCTTTCGTTTTTTAATAAGATGTACACATTTCAATTTAAGTATAATAAATGTTTTTCGATAATTTTGTAAATGTGCTTTTCTTTTTGTTTACTTCTTTTTTACCCACACCCACATTAGAGACAGTCCATTGTTAAGATTTAGATTAATTGCAAGACCTGCCATAGCAAGAATCATTGGTCAAGGTAAGGAAGGGAAGTAAACCAGCCCTGCAGTATATCCCGAACACAGTGCATTCACATGGATCTTCTGCTTCTAGCAGAAACCTTGCTTAGATTTGAAATAATTCCAACAAATTCAAGTTTGACATCAGCTGATTGTTTAAGTGTCCTATATCAGAGTAGGTTCCATTTGTTTTTGTACATATTCAATGCAATAGACTTACAAGGTTCATTATGGTCATAGAAAAAAAAATGAGCCAACACAAGGCAACACATCTTGTCATATTGGTACCAATGACTGCCCTGGTACAGTTGAGAATAAAATCTAATTAAAACTCTCATTAGACCAGCAGTGTCTGAATGGAACTCTTGTGATTGTAACAGTACTCCACTACTATGCAAACGAAGTCCAGATTGGCATACTTTGTAAAAGTAAAGAAATCCATGTACTGTAGTCTAAGTTGTAATTTAACTCCAAAGCTGCGGTCTTAATTTACCGTCCCCATCCTCTGTGAGTCCACACAACCCAGCCATTGCTGGCCACAGAAGTTCATGTTCACACTCACTCCTTTTGAGAAGTTGTTTAAAATTTGCAGGGGAGAAATGGCAGTACTGTCCAGTAGTAGCTTTTCCAACTGCTTTTTAATTTTCAGTAAACACAGGCCCGAACTCTTAAAATATATACACACACACACACACACACACAGAGTCAAAACTTACACAAAAAAAGCTTTCTGAATTGTCAAGTAGTTTCTCTCAGATAATTAAATTGCTTAATATAAAAGTTTGTCTAATCGTCTAGCACTGAAAAACTAAGGATGAAAGCATGGCCTTAAGAGTTAATACACATATTTTTTATCATCATTATTATTATCATTCAGAAGCTAACAGCTTCTGAACCAAATGTGAAGAGTTTGGCTTTCTACATTTGAAAACCACAGGTTTGGTATGGTTCAACTCCTGCCTACAGACTGATGAGCTCACATGCTTGTCCCTAAAATGGGTGGCCAAACTAAATTCCTTGCTCCATCCTGTCTTCTGTAGCTGAACCTGTGTTCCATTCATCTGTAGAAAAGCATGTGTGCTACACCCCTCCTGGAAGCACTGCATCCTTTCCTTCCAGCCCGCAGCGGTCCCAGAGGACGCGGGGATGGCATTAACGAAAGCACCATGGATGGCTGTGGCAGCAGGTACAGTAGAGTGCACAGTGGATTTCTCACCCCCGTTCAAGGCCGATGGCATCGGGCAGAATGTGCGTCGGCGATGAGCAAGCTTTGTACCAGCAGAGTTCAACTGAACCAAGTCCAAGAACTTGGGAAGTGTTTCTAGTTCTATGGGTATCTTGTGGTACTACTTTACCTTTTGACATTACCTATTATGTCCTGTTACATAATTAAATATGAAGCTGAATCATGAAAAGAACAAGCTGCTGTTTCACTGTAAGAGCTTATGATTACTTTGCATTTTTTGGTCAATATCTGCTAAAGCTGATTTGTCCTTAAAACCTGATGCTCGATCTGTGGTGTATATTACAGAACAGCAGGCTCAGTTCCTTGGTGTGGCAGCCTTGAGCCCCACGTTACAGCAGAACTTCACACCAAGTAGTGCTGACAAATGCAAATTAACTTCCAAGTTTTGTGAACTTCCACCAAGTAGCTGCTACGCTGCAATGCCCACATGTTTGACACAGTACTGCAATTCTCATGCCAACAGAAGGAAGGAGTTACTAATACAAACCAAAGCATCACCAACTTAATCCACAGCTGCACATTACGTTAAGATTTTTACCTGGAAAAAAAAAAATGCTTTTCTGTCACAAAACTGGATGACCAAACACCACCATTAGAACTTGTCAGGAAACTTGACTCCTTCTGCTGACTTGCTGTCCCATTCTTCAACAACATTTTTTGTGTGGCTGCACTCACTGTCAGAGGATAATACAGCATCTGCAGAGGCGCTGTCCGCTCCCTCCGACCGACGGAGGGGGAGTTACTGGAGCAAAGTAAGCATGAACTTTCACATGAGGTAGGTGAGCCTGTGGGTGAAAAGGCTGCATTATAATGGGAGAGAAAAGAACAGAATTGAAAAGAGCACACCTCAACTTTGTGCTAGCAAGGACTCTCATTAAGGTTAGTTAGCTATGAAGAAAGCATCTATACAGTGGATACTAGCCAAGCTGTCTTCTCCTCACATGTACTTCCTCATGACTATCCAGCTAAGGCACACCAGTGTCTGGGTACTCACACAGGAATCCCTCTGGTTCCCCAACAAAGCACTGATGAGCCCAGACAGCTCAGGAGAGGCACATGTTTTGCTGCAGAGTTGAGAGGGGTGGACTCTGAGGGACTACTGAGGGACAACTATTCAACCTTGTCTCCCATATTTCTGCTGCTGTTATCATCCTGGAAAGCAGAATGAAATAAAATTGTGCTTCTGCCTTCAATTTGAGTCACTATCAGGGATGATCTTTCCAGTTACAAAAGTGTTTGGATGCAAATTTGGGATACAAAGCCACAGACAAGTTTAACTTCAAGGCTAAAACGCTGCCTCCACAATGCAGGTGGTCCCTGACCTAATGGGTTAGATACTCAGGGAAAAGGTTTGGGGCTGGATTCCAGGGCCTGAGGGCCCTACAGCCCATCAAGTGAAATATCCATGCAGATGTTTTACTATTGGCTCTGTGTATTAACATATATGTAGGATTTAGCATGCCACTACACCATCCTAAAAACAGAGGACTTTACTTGGAAAAAATACAGAAGGCAGAAGATAAGAGCTCAAGATTCCAACAGCAAAATGTCAGAAGTTAGAACTGATAATTACTGCTATTCGTAGAGGGAAGTTACACACATGGGGACCTAACAGAAGGACAGTCAGACAGTTTATCCAGCCTTCCTTGCCTGGACATCTTTAGGACTCCTACAGTCTCAAGCAGTACCAACAGCTCTGGCTTTTCCATGGGAACAAGCCAGGAAACACATACTCTGATCCGTTTGATTCCAGCTCGTGTGACTTGCTGACAGTCGTACAGCTCAATTCTCTCCAGGTTGTGGCAGTTCTCCAGGTGTTCCAGAGTCACATCCGTGATGAGGAGACAGTTATCGAGCTCCAGCACCTGCAGCCTCTCATGCCCACAAGTGCTGTTGCTCAGATGAAGAATCCCATCATCAGTGATCAGTTCACAGTGAGATAAGCTCTAAAATAGAGAAGCAAACAAGTAACGATGACATCCCTCAGTCCTAAGTTACTCGAGCCTCTGGACATCAGAAGTCCTCTTCAACCTCCTTCACTTCAGTGGTTAAATAGCTATAAATAGTACACAGCTGAAATCCATAAAAGTAAAAAAAAAGAAACTGCTTTACGTAACAAAATGGCTGTATTTGATTTTAACTTTGCTTCAAAATGAGCTGAGTCCCAAAACACATCACTGGCAAAACTCTTCAGGCCCCTTTGCTCTCTATGAATGTGGGAATTCTCTTCCAATTGTCCCACACACTGCAAACAGCACCGTGCCAGAAACAACTTTACAGGATGATCGAGAACATAAGGGAAGAGATGAGTATCTGCTCAGGGGTTACTGTTTCACAGCTGCCAAGTTCTCATACATACACCAGGACCAAGCCTGTGCAAGTCCACACAGATAGAGAACAATCACAATAGACTGATTTGCCAAATAACCACCTCAAAGAAAAACAAGCCATGAACATTTGGCACCCCAGGCTGTACAGACAAGGAACAATAAACATCTTGTACAGCTGCAGGAGCAGTCTTTTCTGCACCAGTCAGCATATTAAACCAAAAAAATCTGCTCCTCTTCAGCATATTTTTTTTACTCCCTTGAATTTGAAGAACATGGAAAATGATGTTGCATCTTGGGCAGTGGCACCACATAAAGCACTCTCCTCATTTCTTTAGGGAATTCATGACTTTTGGAGAAGCACGGATGATGACAACAACAGGAAACAGACATTCCTCAGAGGCGGCTTAAAAAACCCACTCTTTGTCACCACTGAAATGAATGCTCTCAAGTTTTCCCCAGTGAAATGTGCAGGATATGTGAACTCTACTCCTCTTGCCCTGGGCTCTGAGCTAGTGCCTTGCTTTATGCTTAGCCCTGGGTTTTGCCTGTACTTGTACCTACGTCTAACAGTGCCTGGTACTGAAATAGCATTTCCTTGCCCCAAGTTGTTTTTTTCACACAGCAACTGATGAAGAAACACTTGCAGCAGTCCAAAAGCACTTTTAAACTCAGAGCAAGCAAATAGCAGTGCTCAAAAGGACCTCCTGCCAATCCCCCAGCTCTAGCATGTAACTTTTCCCCTCTCGGGGTACAACACATCTTTTCATTCCAGTCTGACCAGGCAACCTGGGGACTTCCAACCTTTCTTCACCTCAGCTGCAGTCATGAGCATTTCCTTCCTGCTACCAAACACATGGGGTCTGTCCTGCTCTTTGAAACAATTTGCTTTCAACTTTTTTTGCCTTTGCTTTACAGAATGAACAGGGAACCCAAGAAAGGCTGGGAGACAGTTCTGCATCTCCCCTGGAGTCTGACGGGAGCCACCGCGGCAGCTTCCCTTCAGCTTCAGCTGATTCAATTTTACATGCCAGGTGTGAGCAGCCAGCAGGGACTCCAAGCAACACCACACGGGAAACTGTCTCCAAAAGACAGCAGAAATGATGCTCTTGCCCATACCAACAGTGTTTTAACTCCTGCCACACATTCAGGCAGTCTCTCAAGTCCTCAAAGACATCAAGTCTCTCCTTTCTCTGTGTACGTGCTCTGAGCACTTGGTTTGGCTCAGAGCCTGGGGACAATCAGCAGCTGCGGGGTTAACCAACATTTCTAAGAGACCTGCTGTTCCAAGGAAGGACAGGAGGTTGTGTGAAGCTGCTGGCTAATTAGGAGTGTTCAACACCAGGAAGTAAGCAGCTTATAAAATCAGCTTTCCTGGGACACAGTATGTGGTACTGCAAGGACAATACAAGATGTACAGCTGAGTTCGCAGAACTTTGTAGAACAAATATGCCAAATTATACACACTTCATAGTAAATCACAGGATTTTTCTGACTTCCCAAGCCTGCTAAAAAGCATTGATAATGTGGAGTTTTACACATACAATTGCTTGAAATCTTAAGAACAAAGAGATATGGTCAATTATTTGTTGTTGTTGTTGTTAATACATACTAAATGCTGTGCATAAATCAAGTATGGCATGACATACTATGAGAACTTCACATGCTGTGAAGAATTCAATTGTCTTCTCATCCTCAGCACTATCATGAGTATTTCACAGTTTCTCTACCAATTTAAATGTACAATTAAATTCTTTAAGCAGAAATTACTTAACTACATTAGGCAATACAGCACTCTAATACTGACCATTTGCCTTTTTCCACCATCTACTGAGTCTCCAAACATGATAAAAGTAAATCCAAAGTTGAGCTCTGCAACTCCAAAACGTTTGCTCTAACTGCAAATACACTAAAGCACAGCTGCAAAGGAATTTACAGGACATTGGAAGCACCAAGATTAGCTCATGCACTGTATTTGGCACCTGCCTGCCTTGTCTTGTCTTTTCCCGTAATTCTCAGCCACTGCTGTTCCCACACACAATTTCTGAGTATTTGTCCTTCCTATCCACAGTTTTATATATATATATATATATATATATATATATATATATATATATATACACCAAAGAAATCAAGTTTTCTGGTTCCCTTTGAAAAGCTGTGATGTTTTACTAATGCCACACTTCTCTGCTTCTCTGTCTGTGGGCAAACACACAAAGGCCAGCAAAGAGGAGCAGGCTCAGGAAAAAATGCTTGGGATTTATGAGGTTTTATGGTATCTTTGTTGAAGCATTGACAGAACTGGTACAAAAGACCTCTTGCAAGAACTGCCTGCAACTGGGATTACAATATAAAAACGTGTCCCATCTAAATGGCTCCACAGCTCCTGACAACTGATTTGGTTTAACATCAAGAATGATGGTTCAGAAATGAAGCTGGACAGTTAATAAGGAAAAATAAAAAGACAACAATATTAAACAGTGAACAAGCTCCTTTTAAAAGCCATCCTTCCTCATGTTGCTACCTTAGTAACACTGGGTAACACTAATCATAACAGAATTTAATTAAGGAAGCAGAACACCTTCCTTTAATCCCATCTAAGAACAGATTATACAGATACTTGCTCTCTCATGTAGATCTAAGTAGTTATAACAAATGTACACTAAAAGGACAACTGGCCTGAAATACAGGAGCTCCTACTGTAAGAACAATCCAGCAATTTTCAAGTACCTTGATTGAAGAACAAACAAATTTATGTTACCTCGAGTTGGTTTTGATGATCTGAAAGATCTAAGCTACCACTCCCTAGAAAACAGTTCTTTGAAATCCAATAAGCAGGATACCCCACTCTCAGTCCTCTCCAATTATGTTCAAAAGTCAAGTCCAAGGAAAGCTTCCATAATTTATTATGTAAATGTAAAAAAGTGCTTGGAAAAAAGCGCTTGCATGCTTACAGAGTGATTACATTTATCTTCTCTGTGTGGTTTTGTTTATTCAATATTTGATGTGAAGTGTCATACTCTCTAAGAAAATCATTACTGAACACTTGAGAATATCCATACAGGATCTAAGTGCTTTAAGTTAAATCAAATATGTAAGGAATCAAATATGATGGATGTTAACCATAAAATAAAAGCTTTCTGGTTTTTACTCACTGATTTGGTAACATTTTTTTAATCACACAACACATGTAAATATTTTAGGAGTAATGTGCTGCTTTTAGAATACTTATGAAACTTGCACATATTTTGCAGTGTCACTGTACATCCAGAATTATTTCTAGACACAGAGTGAACAGCCTGGGTTTGTACTGCAGGAGTTGTCTGTGTGTGTCATGGGGCAGAACCACAAGCCACAGACCAGGAGTTACACTTACCAATGCCTGAAGCTTAGGACAGTGTATGGAAAGTTGTATCAATGTGCTGTCAGTTATCTGGGAATAAAAGAAAACAAACATCAGCCATAAGCAACAGATTGCAGGAGAGGCAACCCTCCAATAAAGTATCTCTTTCTCTACTAGATGAGGCTTCTGTTATTTCTGGAAAAAAACTCATCACCTGTTACTCTCCAAGTATTTCCTTGTATCGAATTTCCCAATAATTATTTTTATTTTCTACCATAAAAACAACACCTAAGACCATCTAGGAAAAAGTGTTAATGTATTGCATTCTTACACTGGACATTCAATATTCCTTTTCATATTAAATCTCACCAAAACACATTCTTCCAAGTCCATCTTCTCCAGCTCATGGCAATTCTACAATAAACAAAAAATTAACAGATAAGCAAAAATGAAATAAAACCACATATAGACATAAAACCATGTACAGGACTTATAATATGGGACAGAACAGCTTGAAAGAGGAAACTGTGATCTAAAGCCCTTCAAATATTTGATCACTATCAAAAGACGAAAAAAAAACCTGTTAAAAGAAATAAACAGATGAATTAACAAGCAATACCCCACCTCCCTCTGAAACATCTATATTTCAGCCTTTCTCCTACGAAGTGAAATGTCTCCTCCTTGTCCTGTAAGGTTTGAACAGGACATAGCAGTGCTCAGCAGCCCTGCTCCCCGTCCCCCCTCACTCCAAACCCATGGTATTTACAGCCCGTGCACTAAAGCCAGCTCATCTGCACACACACGAATCCAACTTCTGCATTTATCAGCTGCACCTAACTCATCTGGAATACACTTAAGCCCACGGCACATTTCTCTTCATTGTCATACATTAGAAAGAAGCCTTAAAACCAAATTGCTTTGCCAATGAATGCTGAAAATAATAAAATAGGGTCTATTTTAAGGGTGGAAGGAAGCTGCATGTCACACCTATATGAACAATTTTCTCAGAGCAACATTCTGAAAGACGCCCAGCAAGCTTTCACAAGTGCTTTCAATGTCTGATCATGACTAATTTCAAAAAAAGAATGTAACCTTGTGACCATGCAGCAGACCACACAGTGCCAAAGCTCAGCTCAATTCCTAATCCATTTTTTTCCAGGAACAGAAAAAAAAAGGCTTAAAGAGGAGGCTTGAGGTGACTACCAAGAGCCTGAGGATGTAGTGCTGGACAATCAGAAAACCACTCTGTTTAACCACTGTGGCTACCAAAAAAACACCCCTTTTCAGTCACATTAAATATCAGAAGCATAAATCCCATTTACAG